GGCATTATGTAGATAGGTAGAGTTTAGTAGGGGCTTAGCAAAAGTGGCCGGCCAACCTGTGTGGCCAGCTAACCTGTTAGGTACGTTAACTTTAGTAAAGTAAATATATATGTTAAATAGTATTATATAGCGTTATTATATGTTATTATTATATATATTATAGTTGTTTAAATTTTAGTAATTACTTGTTAACGTTTTTTTAGCTTACATAGTTTTTTTTAAATAAAAAAGCTTTATATATTACTATAGACATAAGAATTATTATATACTATTATAATAATTATTACTTTTACTACTTAAAATCCTTTTCTATAAAATATATATTTATAGAAATAGTAATTACTATTACTAAAAAGTAGCAACCCTGCTCTACCTTACTTCTCTAGCTCTATACAGTAGTAGAGACAGTGCTTGTTATCACAGGTAAACTACTTGTAGATAAATATATATATAAATAACTCTAGTATAAAAGTAACGTATAAGACTATAATAAGGTACTATCTTATTCTAGCTAAAGCCTCTCTGCTAAACCTTAATCTAAACGCGTTCTGCTTTAAGTCTAAACACGCTTTAGATTAGCACTAACCTCTACTCTACCCCTCTACTATACCTCTATTCTTAAATATTTAGTTACGCTACTCTTCTTAGCTAGCAGAGGTAGTTTTTCTATATTCTTTTATATAAGACCTATAGGTGTTAATAGAATTTCTAGGTTTCTAAGTCTCTACATACTTCTATATGCCTTTAAGTAGCTTTACTTAGTTATAAGCTATAAACTAAGGTATACGCCTGTTTTTAATAATAATGTATATAATATATTTTTATATATACTCTAATACTATCTCTATCTAGAGACTGTCTCACCTGCTTCTATACTAGCAGACAGAGACAAACTACAATGGCGAACCTCTAAACCTCTTCTATACCCACTACAGCCTATACACCCGTCTCTAAGTATAGTCCTTCACCTCTTGCTATTAAACCTTCTCTTCTCGCCTAGTAAGCTTATTAGGGAACCCTTGTTACAGTTATCTCTAAGCAAGTATTGTAACAATATGCTTGTTGTGTATAAAAACTCTAGTATAAACTACTTAAAGCTTTATAAGTACTTAGAAATTAAATAGCTATAATATATTACTTTATAATTATTTTATAATAATAGTAAATACAAAACTTGTTATTATTAAAACGTACTTTCTAAAATATATATAAAATAACTAAAAAAAAATAGCTAGTAATTATATAATATTTATAGAATAATTTACTAACGCTTGTAATATTCTTACTTTTAAGTAAGCTTTTGTATTTTAAATATACTAGGCTAGTTTATGCTTACATAGCCTATATTACACTTAGTATGCAAAGAATTAGCTATATTAGTTACAGCTACTAGCTAAGAGGAAAATCTTTACATATATAGCTTAAGTATATACTTAATAATTACTTACTTTTTATTATCATCTAGCTTTTATAATTTAGCTAACGTACCTAACAGGTTAGCTAGCTACACAGGTTAGCTAGCTACTTTTGCTAAGCCTCTACTACACTTTACTTATCTACATAATGCTTTAACAACAACACTAGATTAAATCTTCTAAAGAACATTAGATACAGCTTACTTTTTAGGCTTTTAAATAAAACTTAAAACTCTTTTTATAACACACTACAGCTATTTATAATGTCTTTTACATAACACTAAGTAATTAACGTGCTAGACAGCCTTTAGAAGCAGAATGCTAGTCTAAATTAAAAAATCTAACTAAGCTTAAAAAAAAGTAACGTACCTAACGGGTTGGCCGGCCACACAGGTTGGCCGGCCACTTTTGCCAAGCCCCCACCAAAACTACCCCATTCTCTCGCAAAACAGCCTACTTTAGCCCTGTATAAAGTAATACAACACAAGATATTATTTAGAGTCTACTTCTACAACTTGCTTACACATACGCAAGTTATGCCTAGTTTAATTACACTACTTGCATTACCTTTAACTTAGCTTACCTTTTTTAGCGCGCACTTATGTCTTTAGCTTCTTTCTATTACTACACACTTTAAACTCCTTTAGAGCAGTTAGACAAGCCCTATTCTTAACTATTAAGGTTCTTTTTGCCTAAATCTGCTTCTTTTTATGCAATTTATGTTATGTAGCAGCCTTATTTACTACTTAAAGCTCTGTAATTTTATAGCCTACCCTATTATATTAATGCTCTAGATAACTGTTATCTACTTTCTATTACCTTACTATATTGCCTTTAGCTGTCTTTGTCTCTCTAAAGCTGTAATAACTGCTCTAGTTAATATCTAGCCTATTATAAAGCTTAACTTGTTAAAGTTATACCTGTCTTTATTCTAAATACTATACTTAGCTTTTATGTTAGCTACTAGGCAAAACTAGCCCTAGATAACCTCTAGATTCTTATAAAGCGCTCTCTTATAATTATACTTATAATTAAACTTTATTATAAACTTAGGGCAGTGCTTAACCTACATACTAGTCTAGTTTAAGCTAACCTAGCCTAGATTGCGCTCTGCAGGCAAGGAATTAGCTATATTAGCTACAGCTGTAAGCCTAGGGGGAAATCTGCGCGTAATAAGCTTAAGTATGTACTTAAAAACTACCTTTTTCTTAAGCTTAGTTAGATTCCTTAATTTAGGCTAGCATTCTGCTTGTAAAGGCTGTCTAGCGCGTTAATTGCTTAGTGTTATGTAAGAGACATTATAGATAGCTGCAGCGTGTTGCAAGAAGAGTTTTAAGTCTTATTTAAAAGCCTAAAGAGCAAGCTATATCTAATGTTCTTTAGAAGATTTAATCTAGTGTTGTTGTTAAGGCATTATGTAGATAGGTAGAGTTTAGTGGGGGCTTGGCAAAAGTGGCCGGCCAACCCGTGTGGCCGGCCAACCCGTTAGGTACGTTAGTTATTAAGTATATACTTAAGCTTATTATATGTAAATTTCTTTTTAAGCTTATAGCTATAGCTAATATAGCTAATTTCTTACACATAGAGTATAATCTAGGCTAGGTTAGCTTAAACTAGCCTAGTATGTAAGTTAAGCACTGCTTTAAGTTTATAATAAAGTTTAATTATAAGTATAATTATAAAAGAGTACTTTATAAAAATCTAAAAGTTATCTAAAGCTAGTTTTACCTAGTAGCTAACATAAAAGCTAAGTATAGTATTTAAGATAAAAACATATATAACTTTAATAAGTTAAGCTTTATAATAAGCTAAATATTAACTAAAGCAGTTATTATAGCTTTAGAGAAATAAAAATAGCTAAAGGTAATATAGTAAAGTAATAAAAAGTAAATAATAGTTATCTAAAGTATTAATATAATAAAGTAGGCTATTTTACTTTTTATTATTTTTAAAAGCTGCTATTATTTTTTTACTTAAGATAAAAAAAGAATCTGCCTTAAAACTAGGTTATTACAGTCTTTAAAAACAGGTAAATAATAAATAAGTTTAGGCTATAGTAGTTAAAGCACTTTAATAAGTATATAAAAAAAAAGTTATAAGCGCTTATTAGCTTTTTATTATTAATAGCTATAAAAGCTATAACTTACTTAATTTCTAGCAGTACTATAAAAAGAATAAGATTATTACTATTTATATGCTTTTACACTTATTACACTTTTTATAGCCTTTTAATGTAGGTTGTTTTACCCCTTTTAAAAAGGTGTATAAGTGCTAAGCTAAAGATTTTATGTGTAACTAAATTACTTACATTATAAAACTTAAGTTTCTACTATGCTTTATACACACTTATAATGCAGTAATTACTTTTAGTAATATTTAAGAAGGGTTTTAAAGCGCTAGTTTAGTCTTATTTAACCTAAAATAAGTTAAAATAGCTCTTAATATTTAGTTACATACTTTATTACTACTACTACTTATTAATAATAAGCTTTAGTAGTTATAAACTCTAAGTAATACTTTTAAATTTAAGTTATAATTAATGCTTATAAAGGTAAAAATTTAAAAGTATATAGATAGCTTACTAACATTTATAGTAAAGGCCTTTAAAAAGGTCTTAAAAAGGGCAGTAATTATTACACATAAGCTAGTGTTAGTGTAAAAGAAGATTATAAAGCTTTAAGCAGTAAATAAGGCTGCTACGCAATATAGATTACATAAAAGAAAGTAAATTTAAGAAAAAAGACTTTAATAGTTAAAAATAAAGCTTATTTAACTACTTTAAAGAAGTTTAAAGCGCGTAGTAATAAAAAAAAGCTAAAGACATAAGTGCACACTAAAAAAAGTAAGCTAAGTTAAAGGTAATATAAGTAGTGTAATTAAACTAGGCATAACTTATGTATGTGTAAAAAAGTAGTAGAAGTAGACTTTAAATAATATCTTATATTATATTACTTTATACAGGGCTAAAGTGGGCTGTTTTGCGCTAGAATAGGGTGGTTTTAGTAGGGGCTTAGCAAAAGTGGCCGGCCAACCTGTTAGGTACGTTATATAATTAGCTTCTAAAAGTTATTTAGAATACTAGTTATTTTTTTTTAAAAAAAAAGCTTACATATAGCTATAGTATATTGCTTTAAAAGTATTATGTTTTATTTAAAAGCTTAAAGTGTAAGCTATATCTAACATTCTTTTAGCACGTCTAAGTAGTGTTGTTAGGAATGCATTAGTATAGGAAAAGTAGTTTAGTAGAGTCTTAGCAATGTAAGCAACTTAGGTGTGTAAGCAATTCGCCTGTGGTGTACGTTACTAGAGTAGTTAAAGCTAGCTAGGAAGGATATAGACGCTATAAGCGTAATACATTACAAATAAACGCGTTGTTACTTCTAAAAAAAAAATTTAGTATAGGTGTTTCTTATACAAACTAAAAGCTTTAACTTATCTAAAGCTAATCTAACTGTTATTTGTTAATATATTAGGAATTCTATTGAGATTCCAATCTCCTATACATTAGTAAGGGGATGGGGGGGGGGGGAATCTGAGGAACGCTAAGAAATTTCCTAATTTTTGCACATAATACATTGCTTATCAGCGACTTCGTATGAACCTTCCCCATTTGGCCTGACTCCTCCGTCTCACGCCTGGTTCGTTAAGCACGACGCTTCCCACCTGAGTCTGGGACAGGCTTTGATGCATTCATTTCCATGGAGTCGTCCACATAACCCTTGGATCCCCAGTCCATTGCTCGACCACGGCGCTCGCAATGCCCGAAGTAACAATCAACTCTGCAGTGTCCAAAGACGACCTTTTCATCCCGCTCATCGACTTTTCCCGCTTCCTCTCCTCCGACCCGACATCTAAACAACAAACTGCTAAGGCCGTTCTCGAAGGCTTCCAGAATGCGGGCTTTATCTACCTCCAAAACCACGGCATTCCACCCTCGACCGTTGCGACAGTTTTTGTGCACTCGGCAAAGTTTTTTGCACGTCCACAACACCAAAAAGACGCACTCGCATGGTACTCGCCCGAAGCGAATCGCGGCTATACCGCCCAAGGCCGCGAGAAAGTCACGGATCTGGAGAAAGCGGGCGACGTTGAGGACTTGCGCAAGTTAATCCCGGATTTGAAGGAGAGCTTGGAGATTGGAAGGGACGATGAGCCCGGCTTGCCGAACATGTGGCCACCTGTTGAAGGGGATGGTGAGGCGAGGGGTTTTCAGGAAGTTATGCTGCGGTTCCATGGCATATGCAAGAAGCTACACATGCAGATCATGAGGGCGATTGCACTAGGCATGGGCATCGAAGAGACGTGGTTTGATGGCTTTACGGATAAGGGAGACAATACGTTAAGGTTGTTGCATTATCCTGGGGTGGATAAAAAGGTATTTAAGAGGGAGGATGGATTGTTGCAGGTTCGGGCGGGGGAGCATAGCGATTATGGTGAGCGCCCTACCTGTAGATGATCTAGGGAGATCAACGGCGACGCTAATATGGTTGGGCAAGGTTCAATTACTCTCCTCTTTCAAGACTCTCGCGGTGGCCTCCAGGTCCGCTCCCCAAAGGGCACATTCGTCGACGCAACACCCATCCCCGACACCATCGTCATCAACGCCGGCGATTTGCTCGCACGCTGGTCAAACGACACCATCAAATCGACTAAACACCGGGTCGTCGAGCCGCTACCCAAGCCTGAGGATGAGGGCGCTGACTCGTATCTTCCTAGGTACTCGATAGCGTATTTTTGTAACCCGAATTTCGATCGCATGATTGAGGCGATCCCAGGGACGTTTGAGGAAAAGGGGAAGAAGTATGAAGCGATTCGGAGCGGGGAGTATTTGGTGCGGAGGCTGGCGGCCACTTATTGAGACATTGTAACAGCACAACAAATGGCAACCACAACGTTCAAGTTTGTAGTAGAAACGAGGATCATGAATGTAGAATATGCACTGGGCCCGAACGACTATTCTAGATCTAGTTCATACTAGCGCCATTCCACATATTGTAACAGCTTTATCTCAGCTAGCACAGCCGGTGTGATGAGAGAACTGAGGAAGCACAAACCACCATGCATAGTGCTACTCTAAACAGAGTATAGCCTAGAGGTTAGCAGTTTCTAACCCATGTAGCTAGCATTTCTTTTATTAGCTGTTTAGAGGACTTTTGCAATTTTCTCTGTAAATTAACCTAATGTATTTTACAAGCAAGTTGTAACAGCACAGGCAAGACAATGGGTCTGAATGCGGTGGGAATCCACTCAGAGGCATATGGGAGTGCGTGGGGACTCAGAACCTGGGAATTTCTATTAACACCTATAGGCCTTGTACAAAAGGATATTAGAAAACTACTAAGCTAGCTATAGAGGCAAGGTGCAACTAAATACATAAAGGAATAGGGGTAACTATAAAGGACAGAATTAAGTTATAGTTAGAGCTAATATAGAAACCCTTTAGATAGGTTCTAAACAACTTAAGATAGAATAATTTATAAGAATTATTACACTACTTTTTTTTATAAGCTAATAGTCTTTATTTATAGTATTTAAAAAGTATTTAGAACTACTTTAAAACTAATTTAAATAAAATATAATAAGTATAACTATTTTAACTAAAATTTTCTATTACTAAAAAATACACTAAAAACCTAATACTAATATAATGCCTTTATTATAATGTTTTTATTTAGTAGTAACTAGTAGTGTAGTTATTATTAATATAGTAAATTTATTATTTATAGTAATAAGTGTTTACTTACTTTACTTATATAGTCTAGTTAATGTTGTTAGTTTTTTCTTTAGCTATTATCTAAATTGCTACTTTATAGGTATTATTATACGCTTAACATCTTATAGCTTAGTTTACTAACTAATTATAGTATTAAAGAAAATTACTATACTGCTCTACTCTTCTTTTAGAGCCTTTTTAAACGTGTTTTAAGTTAACTGCTTTTAGGCTACTTACGCTCTTACTTATAGCTTTTAAGTTAAGTTTTTTTATTAGTTGTTTAAATTAAAGAAATATAAATATTACACTTTATGTCCGTACGCAGCAGCAGCGTCGCGGCCTGGATACGAGCGATCGCGCACGAGCAGGATCACGTATCTATGTCACATGATGCTCGTGCGCGAACCTCTGTGCGCGAACATCTAGATATCCCCCTTTTCCTCTGTACAGAGGAAAGACAAGAGTAATAGAACTAGAAACATGTTACCCTTACCTTACCTACTTTATATGCTGTGCACACTGTACACCACTTTTACTTTTGCTACTTAAGTGCTTATACTATAAGCAGCTAGCTGTTAGAGCCTATTTAACACTAATTAGTAGTTAATTTAATTAACTGCAAATTAGCAAAAGTAACAATAAAGTACTTACACTTTATAAGGTACTTTATTTTGTTACCTATCTCTTAGGAAGAGTGACAGCAGAGTACCTACGCCCTGCAAGGTACTTTGTTTTGTTACCTATCCCTTAGGATAGCAGATTAATCCTTTGCATTGTACAGCAAGCTCTGCTACTGTACAGAGTAAGAAGGAGATAGTGTGAGACGCACACTAAAGCTACTAAAGCTGCACAACCTAGCAGCTAGACAATAGCAGTACCTGCGCGATCTACTGCACAAGCAATTAACCTTACACCTTATAAGGCACTTTATTTTGTTACCTATTCCTTAGGAAGAGTAATAACAAAGCACTTACACCTTATAAGGTACTTTGTTTAGTTACTTATCTCTTAAGATAGTAGATTAATCCTTTACATTATATAGTAAGCTCTGCTACTGTACAAAGTAAAAAGGAGATAGTGTAAGGCGCACACTAAAGCTATTAAAGCTGCACAACCTAGCAGCTAGACAACAGCAGTACCTGCGCGATCTACTAGAAAAGTAATTAACTATACTATTATAATAAAATCCTATTAGCAACTAACAACTTTGCGTAATAATAAAAAAAATAAAGAACAATTTTTATTATATAAATAACTTACAAAGAACATAAAGATATTAGAGGCAACACTATAAAATAAGACTAGCCTAGAGTACTAGAATAACAAGATTAACATGTTAGAGGCTCTAATAAGCCTGCAGACTTAATTATACATAAGTTATATAATTACTAATCTACACATAATAACTTAGAAAAGCGCTACCCTTCTAAGTGCGTACATAAAGAATTTTAAAAGATAGACACTATAAAACTTCTTAGCACTTAGCTGCATATTTAAAAGGGAGCTTATATAAGTGCTAAAGGACAAGAGAATTACACTACAGCTAGGCACTAAAGGTACCTAAGCCTAGAAGCTGTATAATATAGCATAAGAGAAAGTAATTACACTAAAAAGGCTTTATATATAACCTTTATTACTATATAAGGCTCTGCATAGAAGCAGACTAAACATAATGCTGCTATTAACACTAAACATACTAGCATTACCTGCTTCTACACCTTAGCTAGCACTACACTAATTACTGTACAAACAATACATGCCACCCTACCTAACGCCTGCTCCACACCCTTAATTGTACACACCACCGCCTGCAGTAGTGTATGCACTACTAATACCACCTGCACAATCTATACCACATTACAGCCTGTACAAACTTCCACCCTAGAGGGAAACTGCTAAAGAAAAACTCTTAGCAGATAAGATTATATAATTTTAAAAAGCATAAAAAAAAATAACTATATAAGTTAACTATATAACATTTTTATAAATAAAATAAAGATTTTTATTAATCTATGTTAATAGCTAGATATTTAGAAAACTTAGTACACAGACATCTTTCTAGATATTTTAGAAGGTTAGGTAAATATGTACTATATGCATAATATAGGCCCTAGATATAACTAGAAGCATTTATATAACACCTTAAGTAGTTACTTTAACACTAATGTAAACTATAGCTAGTACTAGACAGACTAGATAATAATAACTTTTACATAATGCTAATAAAAGAACCTTAATAAGAGTTTACATAAAGCCTTTAAAATAATAATTAATAAGCTTATGCTTATATAAAGGGCACTAAAAACAAAATTTTAAAAGGATGTTTTACTGCACACTACTATTATATAAGCTTGTTAAGGATAACTAGAACTAGAACATGCTATGTTTACTATTAAGCTCTTATGCAAAGCCTTATTTAGTAACTTATAGGCATTACTTTAAGTTACTATAGACTAAAAAGTAAACTAATACCTCTAGAAACTGCCTAATGTATACTATATAGACTGCTAATATAACTCTGCACAATAAAAGTCTGCACAACAAAAAAAAAGCTTTTCTTTGTACAGAAAAAGACAACATAGAAGATCTTTATCTAGGTTTAGGCTACAATCTAGAGATAACTGCACATAAATAAAGAAGTGCTTTGTCTGCTATAAGAAGAGATATTAGTTATTAAACTACTCTTATAATAACTATACATAAGCAAAGAACTAGTACATTACCTTATACAAAAATTTCTATAATAAGACCTTATTATATAAAGCTATTACCTTGTACATCTAAGACTTTAAAAGTTACCTTAAGGAAAAAAATAATTTGCATAATGTAAAAAAAATAGAATAAAAAGGTAAGGATACTAAAAAAGCTGTTAACTACTTTACCTCTACTGCCTATCTACACTATGCAACAGAAGAGGACATCTACAGCATTAAACCTAAGAAATATGCTAAGCAGTTTATCCTTAATAACTAATACTATATAGTATACTAAGGCAAACTATAAAACATAAGTGTAGTAAAGATTTCTACTATTAGCAAGTTTTAACTTAAGGCGTACATATAAGAGAACTTATGTATAGAAATTAATTAGACACCTAGCTAAACAAAGATTAGCTTTAAAAGCTAGACACTAAAAGGATTAATTAGTACTATATAAATCTAGAACTTAATTAGTCTAGTTACATACTACATCCTAAAGACTCTAACACTATTCCTGCTATTGCTAGCAGATGCTAACTAACTTAAAGCATACTTTAATAACATTCTAAATATTATTATACATAAAGATAAAACTACTATACTTATTATATAAAAATAAAAACACTTTTTTTTAATATTAGTAAAGAAAAATTTATGTCTTTTTTTACTAAATTAAAACTTTACTGCCTCTACTGCTAATTTAGACACCCCTGCATAAAGAGACTCTAGAAGATGCTAACTAGCGCTAGCTATAACATTAATGCTGCAGTGCTAGAAGAGATTAAGAAGTTCTGCTACTTCTGCTAATTATATAACTAGGCCTTATAAAGATTTAAGTTTATAATTAAAAATAACATTTACTTTAACTATAAAGTTATTATTAATGTTATATAAATTAATAATAAGAATGTTTTACATGTTATTAATGTAGACATATTATTTTAGGCTGCTACATTCCTAAAATCTATGTCTGCACAAGATACCTAAAATGCACTATGCAAATGCTAGATTAACACTTATTAAGGACCTTTAGACTACATTATGTATAACCTTAGTATAAACTTTGCTTTAGAGGATTTTTAAGCTTATGTAAAGATTATAAGAGCTACATGTAGGCAGATGCCTATAGAAGCATATTAGGCAGTTAGAAAAGTTAAGCGCGTGCACACACTTCTCTAATAAGTGTTTAACATTCTAAAGACTAAGCTAGGTAACTATATAGATAATAAGGCTATCTTACAGATAGCAGTTAAGGCTCTAAATAACATAGCTAGCCTATATAGTCTAGTACCCACGCTGCTAGTCTTTAGAGCATACCTAAGAATTAACCTAAACTCTCTACTATTACTAGACATTATTGCACAAGCAAGCGCTATATAAAAGGTAATAAAAATACTTTAAAAAGACTATATAAAAGTAAACATTAATTATGTAATTAACACTTATAATAGCCTTATAATATATAAAGTTTTTAACCTCCTCCTTAGCTTAGAGATTATAGCATAGAAAGAGAAGAAAGGCTAGACTAGCCTATATAAGATTAAGAGCATTAAAGAGAGAGATGTTATTATTAAAAAAAAAATAGCCTACTAAAGCTCTAATGTACACAGGT